TTCAAAAAAAAGGCAGTTTCTGGTGCTTGCTTCGACAGCATATATACTAAAAAGCAGCTTCTGGGGACCAGCAGAGCATAGTGGTTGAGGTGCTGGGCTCCCACATGGCTGACTACAGTTCAAGGCCCAGACTTGAAACACGTGGGGTACACGTGCATGTGCGCCTAAAATCCCAAGAGGAGAATGGAAGAGAAGGGATTGCGGTGTGGCCAACCCCACTGGGGGAAGGGGGTGATTTCTTACTTTCTGTCTCTCCAAGCATATGCGCCCTATAGCAGAAATCTCTCTTAAAAAAAAAAAAATTAGAAAGCTGTTTCTGGGCCAGCCTGTGGTGTAGTAGTTAAGGCTTTGGCTCCCACATGGCCAACTGCATGGTTCGAGCCTGGGCCCCGTAGCCTGAGAAACACACCAGGCACATGTGTGTGCATGCCCCAGATACTGAGAGAATGGACAAGGGATTATGGCTTAGCCAGCTCCCCGGTGGATGACCTCCAATCCCCCTTTTTTGGCAAGCCTAAGTGCCCTATGACAAAAAAGTCTTCAAGAAAAGAAAAAGAAGGAAGCAAAGCTGTGCCCGGGCTGGCCGTGTAGCGTAGCAGTGGAGCCTGGTGAGCCGGGTCACACACGGTGACTGCAGTTCCGGGGCTGGCCCCAGTGGCCAGCTGCATGGGCGTGTCCACAGTCCTGATGGGTGGAGAGATGGAGGAAAGGACTGCAGTGTGACTACCCCCGTCGGGGGTTCTCGCTCACACTCACGCATGCTCTCTGTCCATTTAGAGAAAAGGCGCTTTGGGCCATCACGTGGCCAGCTGTGCTGCTCGAGTCCCGGATGGGCAGCTTGAAAGGTCAGACCCCGCACATGTGCGCGTGTGCCCACATCCCGAGAGGAGACTGGAGAAGAAGGGGTTGTCGCGTGGCCATCCTCCCTGGGGAGTAATTTCACACCCCCACACTCTGTCTCTGTCTCTCTCAGGCAAGTGCAAATGCCCTATAGCACCCCCCTCCCCAAAAAAGAGCGAAGAAAGCTGCTTCTTTATTTTGGCGACTGTGTCCATGACTGTATCCAGGCCGTAAGTATCCAAGCTCCTGGAAATAGCTGCCGTTCTTTGGTATCTTATCTCTGCGTAAGTTATTTGTCTTTGGCTGTGGGTTATGTCAAAGGTGGAGTTTGTTTTGGCTGAAATCACGGAATTAACAGAATGAAGGGCCCGGAGTGCAGCAGCCGTCTGTCTGGGACACCAGAGGGGGCCAACTTTATGTCACACGTGCTGGGTGTGGTTGGCCTTAACCCAGGGTCAGTCCCAGATCCAGCACCGTGGGCCCGTCACTCAGCGGATGAGTGTGAGAAACAGCAGGGAATCAGGAGACAATGCACAAGTGGATAGAGATCTCTCTATTCTCTCTCTTCTAGACGGATTTAAGAGACTTTGGGGTCCAGCCCTCTCCTGGGGGCTCTCCCAAAGACCTACATTAGCCATGGTGATGAGGAGAGCTGAGCAGATTACAGAACCTCTTGGGAACCCTTACGGCACCCTAGTTCTTCAGTAGAAGCCTGCTCCTAGCTCTGCTGTTCAGACGGAACTGCCCTTTGTTCGTCCAGTCTCCGCGGCGACCTCCTGCCTCAGCCGCCCCAGCTGCTGAGATTACCAGTGCACACCGCCATCCCAGCTTTTAGGTTGGACTAGGAACTGAACCTAGGCCTAGGGTGTGCATGAGAGAGACAGAGGGACGGAGAGGGACCGAGAAAGCACCCTCATGGGCAGTGATCACGCCACTGTTCCTTCTCCATTTCTCCCTCCTTCCCGGATTCTGGGCATTTACACACATGCACCCAGCGTGTTGCTCAAGCTGGGTCCGGGGCTTGAACTGTGCAGTCGGCCATGTGGGAAGCAGAGCCTTACCATCACATCACGGGCTGGCCCTCAGGGCTATTGTGATGCCACTGTAGGGGCCACAGCAGTTTCAGTCAAGGGAGTTCAGCAGCCCCGTGCTTCTCAGACGCCATCCTTGTGGGGTTTCATGGCAACTTATTCCACAAGCTGGATAAACAGTTGAACACTTGGCTCTGGGACAGCCCACTGCTCAGCACCCTTCCCCTCGTGTCCCAGAGATCAAGCATGGGGCCGGGAGTCCCAAACCCTCGTCACACCGCTGATTCCCTTGGTGCCCAGCCACGTCACTCATCGGCCTGCAAAAGACACTCTCACTTTGGAGATCCCAAGGGCTTCAGGAACTGAGGACAAGAGACCAAATGTGTATTCCGTAATAGAAATCACAGTAGAGGGCCTGCCGATGGGGTAGTGGGTAAGGCCGCGAGAGAGACAGAGACAGAGAGACAGAGACAGCACCTCCTGATGCTGTGACCTGGCCCTGGCCTCCGCCCACCCTGGGCCACAGACACAGCATGCCTGCTGTACCCGGCGATCTCCAACAGAGCCCGGACCCCGCCTGCGTGGGCAGCGTCACTGAGTGTCGTGCCTCACGCACTGCCACCTTGCAGCCCCGGTAGCATTCTTCTAACGGCAGGGCCACATAAGAGGAGAAACAGATCCGTAGCTGCCAGAGACGAGGGTGGTGGAGTCCGGGGTGACGGCGAGATGGCTGTGGGATGGGGCTCTGCGTCCTGGCTGGGCTGGTGCCTACAGGACTCTGCGCCTGAGGGGGGTGACGGAGCGCTGCCCTCCTGTCAGATTCCTGCGTTGGCTCCTGAGCTGTGGTTGCGTCAGGAGAAGGGGTAACCACTGGGCAGACCACGGGCGCTCTGGGGAAGGCGTGTAGTCCTCGCCCCTGCCTGGCCGCCGCCGCTCAGTGCACTGTGATGCTGCCCAGGTCAGCCGCCTCGTCTCGCTCGCTCCCCTTCCGTCTTCTCTCTGTTCCACGTGGTCGTCGTAGAAACAAAATCTGGGGCTGGCAAGTGGCGTGGTGGTTAAGGGCACTGGATTCCTACGTGGGTGACTGCGGTTCAAGGCCCAGACCTAGCAGCTTGCTTTCTCACTCCCCCCAACTCTCACCCTGTTCCTCTCTGCTCAAAATTAAAAATAAAATAAATGAAGTTAAATAAAAATTATTTTTAAAAATCTGAAAACTAGGAAATGTAGATAAAATAGAAAGGAAACAATTTAAACTATGAAGTGGTATCTTTTTTTTTAATTTTGCTATAGGGCACATATGTTTGTCTGGGTGAGGGGGAAGAGAGGGAGAGAGAGAGAATGCACCCCCCGTGTGGGGGAGGTGTTTGGCCATGGCCATACCTCAGTACCTTCTCTTTCTCCTTTTGGGATTTTGGGCACATGGCTGGTTTTTGGGGTTTTTTGTTTGTTTGTTTGTTTGTTTGTTTTTGGAGAGGTTTTTGCTATAGGGTACATGCACTTGCCAGAAGGACAGAGAAAGACAAAGAGACAGGAAGCAAGAAATCACCCCCCGGGGGGATGGCCATGCCGCAATGGCTCCATTCTCCTCTTGGGATCTTGGGCACACATGCACACGCGCCCGGCATGAGTTTAAGCCGCTGGGTCCGGGACTCGATTCACAGTAGATTACGTGGGAATCCAGCAACATAGCTGTTATGCTAACTGCTGGTCCCTGGCTGGTGTGTTTTTCAGGTTCCTAGATCTGAGACTTGAACCAGGTGATTGGCCATACAGGGGCCGGCTGCCTTAACCACCATGCCACCGGCAGGCCCGAGGCTCTCTCCTCTCTGTTTAAGAATGACTTGCTCCAGGGCGAGCAGGTCGTGTATGGTTATGGTAGTGGACTCTCATATGGTCTGTGGTTAGAATCCTGGACCCGGCAGCTTGAAAGTCCACACTGGGCATGTGTGTGCATGCCCAAAATCCTAGGAGTAGAATGGAGGAGAAGGGGCTATGGTGTGGCCATCCCACCTGAGGGACGATTTCTCGCTTTTCTGTCTCTCTGGAAAGCACATGTGCCCTACAGCAAAAATCTCTAAGAAAGAAAAAAATGGCCAGTTCCCTTCTTGTACTAGCTGTTGGCTGTGGCGTAGGCCTGTGGCCCACAGCCCGAGTCCTGACGGGGCTCCAGTGCTCGGGTTCAGGGTGGGCAAACGTGGTCCGGCTTTGTACCCACTCCTAATGAACCCCGTCAGGTCCTGTGGCCGTGGCGGCGGGATCAGATGACCTGGGTTTAAGTCTCGACTCCGCTGCCCCCGCTGGCTGTTCCGTTTCTTTGTGCGCATGGTACTGCCTCCCAGGGACGGTGAGGGGGGCCTGGTGACTCGGTGCCATTCACTGTCTGAGTGCCCTGGCCGGCTGTGCTGCCCCCTGCGGGTTTGTGGCTCTGCTGTCCCCAGGGTAGCCCATCCTGTGGATTTTCTTCCCCAGCTGTCTCTGGTCTCTAGTTTTTGGTGGGACGGGCACTGTGCTGAGGGGATGGCCTGAGGTGTCCGGGCCGAGGGAAGCAGTGGCTGTGCAGAGCATGGGTGCACCATGCGCGGCCGGGGTCATGGCGAAGACCAGGCTGGGCGTGAGCGGGTGGGCAGGAGGACGACTCCTCGCCGAGCCCCCTCTGCCTGCCCCACCGGCCCCTCACTGGAGCCTTTGTGGGGCGCTCTCGTCTTGTGGCAGAGGCAGTGCAGGTCAGGGACTCGCGGGCTCCCAGGGGAGGGTCCCCAGAGGAGGGCAGTCAGGCGTGCCCGGGGCTGGTGGGGGCCAGGGCAGCGGGTCCCCAGCTGGGCCTGGCCTGGCTGCGGGCTGGGAGTTTGCAGCTCTGCAGGGCGCTCTAGCTCAGCAGCCCCAGGAGCAGCGTGGTGGCATGTTGCCGGCGCCCGGTGACGGATGCCAGGGCCCTGGCTGCTCCTTTCCCAGGGGCAGGAAGCAGCTGGCCCTCTGTCCACAGCGCACGGGCGGCTGCTCCGACAAGGCTGTCACTGCCTGTGGAATGCTGTCTGGCACTTCCCTGGCCAGTCCGTGCTGGGGGTGGACGGAGGCCTGGCTCTGTGGGAGGGACCCTGGCTGGGAGCGGGAGGCTGCATATTGTTCTCCCTGGCTCCTCCTGTCCTGTCCTGTCCTGTCGCTCTGGTCCCTGGGCTCAGAGCTCTCCAGCTGTCACCATGGCCTTCCCCGGCCGCGCGCGCCCCGGTGCTATCCCCGAGAATGAAGAAGTCCCCCAGGCGGCCCTTCACAGGGCCCACGAGGCCACCGGCAGCGAGGACGAGAGGGCCGTGTCCAAGCTGCAGCGCAGGCACAGCGACGTCAAAGTCTACAAGGAGTTTTGTGACTTCTACGCCAAGTTGTGAGTGTCCTGGGGCCCCTTCGCCTCCCGCCTCACTGGGCTCTCAGCTCCCGAGCCTTTCTGACCAGGACAGAACGTGGTTTTATTTTCCGGACTTGGGCTGGGGAGATGCTGCCTTCCCCGCGAGGGCTCCTGTAGCCGCGCCTCCCTCGTGTGCTCTGCGCGGGGGCCGTCGTTCTCCTTGTCAGGATTTATGGTAGAGACGTTCGGTACTCCCAAACTTCCCAAGGAGGAAGGGCGCTCTCAGCTCCCGAGCCTTTCTGACCAGGACAGAACGTGGTTTTATTTTCCGGACTTGGGCTGGGGAGATGCTGCCTTCCCCGCGAGGGCTCCTGTAGCCGCGCCTCCCTCGTGTGCTCTGCGCGGGGGCCGTCGTTCTCCTTGTCAGGATTTATGGTAGAGACGTTCGGTACTCCCAAACTTCCCAAGGAGGAAGGGCGGGCCAGGGCAGACCGAACCGGCGGCCGGCGCTCGGGTCTGGCTTGTCAAGCTGCAGCTAGAAGCAGGCCGACTTGGTGTCTTCCCACTGTGCCTTGGAGCCTGGAGGAAAGTGGGGAGGGTGCTGTGCGTGGCGGCACGTGTGTGGGTGTGCACCCTCATTCTGCGTGTCTTGTAGAGAGCTGTCCCGTGTATTCCACGGCACGGGTCTCAGCAAACGTTTTTTGCTGAAAGGAGGGCGGGGTGGCCTTTACATCCACTCCAGTCAGATGACATCGACCTCATAGAAATGATAAGCTTGGAATTACTGCAGCCCCAACTTGCCGAGGAAGTCGGGAGAGCGTCACGCCCGATGCCCGTTTCTATAGCCCGTTGTGTCACGGGCCGCAGCAGGTGTCACAGGAGCCGGAGTGGGAGTCACGGGGATGCACCATGGTCCTGCAAGCAGGGTTTGATTGCCTGGTGGCACCTGTGTGATGCTTTGAGGGACACACTTCAGGCCAGAACCGTTGTGTCCCTGCTGCGATCAACGAGGCACCTGATGATGGGAAGCCGGAGGGAGCAAGCTTGTTGTGGGGACTGATCTGTGGAAAGAGACAGTGCTGGGGCCTGGCAGTGGCGTGGGGGCGAGGCGCTGGACTCCCACATGGCCGACTGGAGTTCCAGTCCTGGACCAGGCACCTTGCTTTCTGACCCCCACCCTGGTCAAATTTTAAAATAATAATAATAAAATTAAATAATTAAGTCTTAAAAGGTCTGTGCTGAAGGTGTGTGTGTGCATTGCCTATATAGACACTCCTTGTCACCACCTCTTCTGAAAATTAGGCAATTAATTTTGAGTACCCAAATAACAGCTCTCACAAAAAGTAACCTCAGTTGTATTACATAAAAAGTCAACTGTAAAAAAAAATGCAGTGTCAGAGGGTCAGAGGCAAGAGGAAGGGCTAACATAAACAGTCAAGGAGGGTAAGGTGATTGTGTTTCTTCCCTGAAAGTGACTTCAGTGTTCTATTTCCTTTTTCCTCTCTGCTTGTTTTTAGAGGGAATACTTATTGAAAAATACATAGAGATTAACTAGTCAGTTTTTTTCTGTGTGTGGAAAATAACTATGTGCTTGTTTTTATACTGTTTCTACATGTTTTCTAAATATTTGCGTATTTGAACTTGAATACAAGTGGTCTGTGTATAGCCTACTTACTGGCCAGTGATAATCAGATGCTTGCTCTTGGGACCCCTTTACACTCTTTTTAAAAAATTATTTAACTTTATTTATCATTATTATTATCATTATTTTAATTTACCAGAGAGCAACACAGAGAGAGAGAGAGAGAGGGAGAGAGAAAATGAAAAAGCAAGCCACCAGGTTGGGGACTTAAACTGTGGTTGGCCATGTGGGAGTCCAGTGCCTTAACCACCACACCCTTTCCTGGCCCCCTTTTACGCTCAAGGTCTCCAAAGAGCTTTTATGTGTCAGTATTTACTGTATAAGACATTAAAGCTAAGAGAAGAGTTAAATATTTACTCCCTCAAGCGTAACAGTACGTTGGGGCCAGCAGGTGGCATAGTAGTTAAGGACTCCCCATGGCTGACTGCAGGCCAAGCTCTGGACCTGGTGCTTGAAACTCACGCCGGGCGCATGTGCGTGCATGCCAAGATCCTGAGAGGAGAACGGAGGAGAAGAGATTGCGGCGTGGCCATCTCCCCTGAAGCGTGATTTCTTGTTTTCTGTCTCTCTGTTTCTGTCTCTCTGGCAAGTACTCGCACCCTATAGCAAAAATGTCTCCCAAAAAACCCCCAGTAAATTCACTACATGTTGATAATATTAATGAAGTCAAAATTAATATTTTTATGAAAAATAACTATTTTACAAAATGGAGGAAATTTAAGGGGAAGATTGGCATTGTTTACATTTTGGGGAGTCTCATTAAATGTCTGTTAATAAAAAACGGTTCCTTTTTGTTTGTTTTTTAAGAGAGAATTTTACTATAGGGGGCTTGTGCTCGCCAGAGAGACAGAGAGAAAAGACGAGACATCGCCCCCCAGCAGGGATTGCCAAACTGCAATCCCTTCTCCTCTCAGCATTTTGGGCACGCATGCCTGGCGTGGGTTTCAAGCTGCTGGGTCTGGGATTTGAACCGCGGTCAGCCGTGTGGGAGTCCAGCGTCTTAAGCACCACGTCACCTGCTGGCCCCACGCTGTGTTACTTTCTGAACTGCACTGTGGGGTGTTCTGTTCTCTAAGTCTCCCGATCAGTGCTGTAATCTGTTGTGACTGACCTCGCGGTCCTGTGGGCAGGGGCCTGCTCCCTGGTCCTGCTCCTCCCCTGACCCAGCCAGCTTTGCGGTGCGGGGCTGGTCCCCATCTCTGGGAGCCTCTTTCACCATTTGTAAAATGAGCTTTACGACGGGGCCAAAAGGTGTCATGGCAGTTGGAACGCTGGACTCCCACATGGCCATCTGCGGTTTGAGTCCTGGACCTGGCTGCTTGCTTTCACTTTCCCTCTTTCTCTGATGAGTGTCTGCATCAAATTAAAAAATACTGATAATAAATAAAATTAAACAAATTATTCATTTTTTTTTTAAAGAGTTTTGCTATAGGGCGCATGCACTCACCGGAGAGACAGAGAGCGAGAAGTCATTCCTGGAGGGGGATGGCCACGCCACAGTCCCCTCTCCTCCATTTTCTCTCTCAGGATTTCAGGCACGCACACAAATGCACTTGGCACGAGTTTTAAGCCTCAGGTCTGGGATTTGAGCCACGGTCGCCTGTGTACATGTCCAGCAAAATAACGAATACACCATCTCCTGGTCCTGAATAATTCTTGTTTTTTTTTTAAAAAGTGCTCCATGATAGAAACCTCTGATTTAAACGACATCTTGTAGGGCCAACCCCGTAGCACGGTAGGTAGT